AGATTAGACGACAATCCAAAAATTGTCACCTCTGCATATTTTATGATGTTTAAATATAGTTCAATTATATATGATATTTACATGTTTGTTCGATTGTACTTAAACATTAAACTTGTTGTTTGTATTAACATGTATATAATTATTGTTGTTATATTATCCCTACAAATGTGGTCTTATGAGGCCTTTTCATATATATTATAATGGATGAACTTTATTGTTGTGGTTTTACGAGGTCTTTTCATAATACAATGGATGAACATATTGTTGGAGACATTATATGTCAGTAAAATAAAACTGAGGTTTACACGACGTTTACAATGAGTAAACGTTGACTAGTACACAATTAACAGAACAGGATAAATAGTAAAATTCAAAACATTACTAAGATTAATTTAGCATTTGTAGTCTTTAATGATATTTTTTTTTTTTTTTCGAAATGAAATATTTCATTTGAAAATTCAGTTTTATAAATAGGAAGTAGTTTACTTGAAAATTTATACATTGAGATTTGATTAGATGAAATTGGGTAGTAAATAGTAAAAAATGATGAGCATGCAGTGAAAAACAGTAGGATTGAGGACGTGAATAGCCCGAGACCTACACAAAATTGCGTGGCCAATTGGGTAAGCCAAATATTTACTCAAAAGACACAGCGAAAAATCATTGTTTGATGTCCTTTCTTTATTTTATTACTCTTATTATTATTATTATTATTATTATTATTATTATTATTATTATTATTATTATTATTATTATTATTATTATTATTATTATAATTTATAGAACTAGTAGTTAATTGTTGTTTCAAGGTAAATCTATTATTATTATTATTATTATTATTATTATTATTGTTGTTGTTGTTGTTGTTGTCGTCGTCGTCGTTGTCGTCGTCGTCGTCGTTGTCGTCGTCGTTATTATTATTGTTATTGTTGTTGTGTTGTTATTGCCTTTCTCGTTGTTAGATTAATAATATAAAATCTGTAGGCCATGTGGTGTTTATATGCTATTAAGATAAAAGTCAAGCGGGGCTCAAAATTGTGATAGTTAAATTAAGATTCAAACCTTTATTAATTGAGTCGACTCGAATTTAAATCGTTAGCTAAAAAAAATCGATAAACGAGGTAGATTTTTTTTTTTTTTATCAATTTTAACTATAATTTTTTTCAATGCAATAAAGTTACATAGTCTTTATTTTTTCTTGACTTGTAGAGAAAAGACTATTTCCAAGAACGAAGCGACGATAAGTGTTTCGCATGCCTCATAAAATAACATACAAAGAACCGCTAGCAATAGCCCATTAATTGATTCGTTAAGGCTTAAGAATATAAATTATTTCGTAATTTTTAAAATTGATAGTTTAACTCGACTCATTAATAAGCGAGCCTTAATTAGCCGAGTTAATACTCAACCCGTTTCATTTAACAACTACACTCACAAACATATATTGTGTCATCCTTGTTTGTCATTATCATTGACTTATTATATCCACAAATGTTAGTGTTCATTTAAGTCTCCTTTTCCAAGTTTGGATTTGATTAGGAATTAAAGACAACCAAATACACGTTATTGTAAAATTTATAAGTTTATTATGTATTATTAAAGGAAAATAAAATCACCATATTTTTTGAAATGTATGATGTCAACAACAACAAAACATATACTATTAAACTAAATGTTATAATGTGAAAACTAATATAAACAAAATTAAAACATTTTATTATATTTTTATATATATAAAAAATAATGGATTAAACCGTAAAAAGGCCGACAATGTTCTAAGGTTCATTAATCTCAAACTACAGGAATATACTACGGTCCCGTTACGGAATTATTCTGTCGAGATTTGCAACCATTATATCAACTATCCATGACGATTACATGATAATCTAACGGTTACAAACTTTAACGAAACAGTCCCGTTCCCCAAACTACATAAGAATACAGTCATTACAACTGATGCAAACCCTAGTAAGATATTGTCCGCTTTGGGCTACTTCCGCCACCCGCACGGCTTTGTTCTTGGCTGGACTTCAATACACACCCACCAAAACGCGTCTTATTAGTGAAGGTATCCACATCCTCATATAAGGTCTGCTTCGTTTCCTTTCAAACCCGATGTGGGATGCGCTGCATCATCCACCCCCCCTTGTGGGCCCAGCGGTCACTGCTGGCACATGAGCTGGCTCTGATACCAACTGATGCAGACCCTAGTAAAATATTGTCCGCTTTGGGCTACTTCCGCCACCCGCACGGCTTTGTTCTTGGCTGGGCTTCAATACACACCCATCAAAACGCGTCTTACTAGTGAATGTATCCACATCCTCATATAAGGCCTGCTTCGTTTCCTTTCAAACCCGACGTGGGAGCGCTGCATCAACAACATAGATTTCACAATAAAAAAAATTAAAAAAAAAATGTCATGTCATGTTCACAATATCTTAATGTTTGATTATTTCATGATGTGGGAACATACCAATTTAAAGTGATTTGAGATATGAAATTCAGAGTAGCATAAAAAAGGTTATGGAGACAACAAATTTGTGGGGGTCCTCATTGGAGTGCCGACTTTTAAGCTGCACCCACCTTTTTTCTTTTCTTTATTGATTATTCACTGCAACTCTCTTTAAAACTGTACTGCCACACGCAAAGTCCCCCTTATTTTTTTTTTAAAATTTTATTTATATTTTTTAATTTATTTAGATTTAAGACATTGCTGCTATTTTTTATTTTTTTTTATTTTTATTTTGTTTTATTTTTGTACCAAACTAATAAATGAAAAAAAATGGAAATAATTATTAAAATTAAGATAGAATTGACATTATAGATAGATATAAAATAATAAAAATTGTTTTAATAGATAAATTATAATCCTCCTATATATAATTTCTGAATGTGATGAGCCTAAGTGGCAGACTCCCATTCTTTGGAATACTAGGTGTTAAAATTTGAGGCTTTGTTATTTGGCTTGGATGATTTTAATTTAATTCAAATCCTAAAATAATTAGGTTCAGATTACCATACATATGTCGATTTATTTATGATCACTTTAGATTTATTGATTGCATTTTAATATCATTTTTTATTATACTTATTGAATAGTAAATGTGTTTTATAAATTGATAACTTTTGTATTTCTATCGGTTTTATATATATAATATATCAAATTAATAATTTTTTATGAGCTTCATTATTTCTCAATTAATATATTTATGTTTAATGTAATTATATGTTATAAGTTAAAAAAATTATTATAATATAATACAAGTAAGTCAAACATGTAACACGTGTCATACTAAAATATATAATAACATATATTTTCTTATAAAAAATATTTAAATTTTCAACTACTTTTTCTGATTAATTTAATGTTTTAAGAAAAAAAAAGAATTTCACAAGTACCCGTGTAATACACGGACATTGTACTAGTATATTTGTTGATACTAGTTGTAAATTAAAAATACTATTGGCTAAATAACACTTTTTTATTTATTAGAAATTTGATAAGAAAATAAACAATAATACAGTAATTTTTAATTGTACTAGTAGTGTTGGTTAGAAAAAAATAAAGTAAAATAAGATGATTTTTTTTTTTTTTCAATCACATTATGAGAAAAATCAGAAAATGCGACATTTTCAAATCCAATCATGTTGTGTCTACCAATTCATTTGACTGTTTTTATTTTACAAATTATTGTACAAGGCAAACATTGCAAGTCGATTATATTTTAATAAAAAAATATGCTATAAAATGTCATATTTTTATTTATATTATATTTTAAAGCATGAAAATTAATTTTAAAAATATATCTTTAACATTTCTGTCTACCTAATAAAAATCTGTAGCAGCTTGTATTTGACTCCCTAACCTTCCATACTTGTTCACTTCAAATATATTGACTAACACCACTATGAAACTTGACTACAAAGTATGAACAAGAAAATATTGTTTTTCTTTTAAAATATAAAGGACTAGTCAAGGAATCTTATGAAACTACATAATTTAAATTTATATATTTATAATAAAAAATGCATGCCTATGATATAAATGTCATAATTATGTTTATATTGTTTTTGAGTCTATAATATTCAGTTTTGCTATGGAGTCATCGGATGGTTCGACTTATGGAGCCATCCAATCCATAGTTATTCACAAATAGTGTATTGACACGTGTTCTACAATAAATACACATTTGATATGTGCCAATACATTAACTGATCGATGGCTTCATAAGAAAACCATCCGATGACTCCATAGATTTTTTGATTTTTTTTTTTTATAGTAATTACATTAGGGTTGCAATTCAAATCCCTCAATTACAATAAATTAATTGCAAACACAACACGATTGCCTCATGAAAGCTCGAGATCAACGAGCTGAGCAGAGCTCATTCGCTCGAAAAAACTAATCATCTTTCCGAATAATTCTTTTTTTTATGATTTTAAATTTATTAAACGACTCAAATTAAACTTTTACGAGCTTAACTCAAATCGAGCTTTTGGCTTATGTATTAATCAAAATAAATAAAAAAAATAGTAGTAATGTGTAATAAGTTATCAAATTAGTTTAATGCTTTGAGCAAGATCAAAATACCTCCATGTCTGTAAATGTGATATAATGAATTATAGTACTGTACACATTTTCCCACGCACATGACATTGAAATGATTAAGATCTCCTTTTCCCCATTTTTTTTTTTATTTTCCAAAAGATTTTTGAGAAAGTTTGGCCTTTTTTTATTGGCCCCTTTTTTTTCACTTTTTTGGCATAAACAGTAGCATGTTGGCTAGCTGGCTCTGAATCTTGCAATGTAGAAGCAAACAATTTTTCCTTGTACCTTCATCAAAAAGAAAATTTTAAAACAATTCAATACACAATATATATATATATTCTATTTTTTTATTCATTTGTGTTATATATATATATGTATATATATATGTATATCTACTACACAGCTATATATATACACGTAAACACACACTATAGGTGGGGAGCTAATGGAAATGGAGGAAAGTGAAACAGGGCAACAAAAGCAAACTTCAAGAAAACCAAAGGGCGGCCTCATAACCATGCCCTTTATCATAGGTAACTTGCCTGTTTGTTTGCATATATTATTCATCAAATTTTCTTGTGGGGTTTTTCAAATTTTAGTACTTTTTAATGATAGGATTATGGGTTTTATAACAGTTGGGTCTTAAAATAAATTTCAATTTTTTTCAGGGGTCCTTCTAAAATGGTTAAATTTCACATCTTTCGCACAGCCCACCACAAATCAACCACAAAAATGTCTGAAAAATCTATCGGAACGTGTTAAAGTTCGAATCTTTAGGCTTTTTTTTCGAAGTAATTACAATAAAGATTGAATCTTTGGTCACTGGTTTTGATAATTTTGATGTTTTTTGTACAGCAAACGAGGCGTTTGAGAAGGTGGCCAGCTATGGTTTGCAGCCAAACATGATGTTTTACTTGATGAATGAGTACAGAATGGGATTCACAAAGGCCACAAATCTGATGTTTTACTGGTCAGCAGCTACAAATTTCATGCCTCTGATTGGTGCTTTTGTTGCTGATTCATTTCTTGGCCGTTTTCTTACAATTGGCCTAGGTTCCATCGCCTGTCTTCTGGTAAGAATTCACTTTCTTTTTTTTTTTGTTTTATTAAATTTTAATGATGATTAATAATAATTAAAAAAAATAAAAAATTATAACTGTGAGAGCTGTATTGTGTGTAGAAAACTATATGTTTTTGATGAGATTAGAGATGTGATCTGAAATTATAAAGTTATTATCAACAGTTTGCTCCGTTATAGTGCCAACAACCAATTAGAACGTGTTAAAGTATTGTGGGACAGCCCCACTGGAGTTGTCTCATTGGTTGTTGGCTCCGTAACGGAGCCAACTGTTGGCTCTTTAGCATTATTGAAGTTATTATTGGTTTCCTTTGATTCAAGAAAATGACAGGCTGTACAGTATAGTATTTGACTAATGTTGAGAGATCCTTTTGTTTAATGGTGGTTTGGTTCTTGAATCTAGCATTCACATTGTTTTGTTTACAATTTTTTTTTTCTCTTTATTTTAATCTATGGTTGCTCGATTTTCCTCAAATAACATAAAGTTTTACTGTATAACAGGGAACTATACAGTTGTGGCTAACTGCCATGATCCCAGCTGCCAGGCCACCGAAATGTGGGCCGGCCGAACTCTGCAAACGGGCTTCGCCCGCACAAATCACTCTCTTGCTATCTTCATTCGGGCTAATGTCCATAGGTGCAGGTGGCATAAGGCCCTGCTCCCTAGCGTTCGGAGCCGACCAATTGACCGACAAGAATAATCCCGAAAAGAAACGAGTCCTCGAGAGTTTCTTCGGGTGGTACTATGCCTCGGCAGCTGTCTCGGTTTTAATAGCTCTAACGGTGATTGTGTATGTTCAGGATCACTTGGGGTGGAAAGTGGGGTTCGGTTTGCCCGTCGCCTTGATGTTTTTCTCGGCCGTGCTCTTTTTTCTTGCGTCCAAGTTGTACGTTAAGGAAGGCCCGAACAAGAGCCTTTTTACGGGCTTTTTGCAGGTAGTTGTGGCGGCTTGGAGGAATAGAAGGCTCGATTTTCCCGGGGATGGGTCGGGCGAGTATTATCAACAAAAGGGGTGCTCGTCGGCATATACAACTCCAAGTGACAAATTAAGGTTGATACCACAAATCCCCTTGATATTGAGTATTTTGAAATGCTTGAGAATGTGTACAAAACTCACTTGCAATGGCTTTTTGTAATGCTGAAACTAAATTGGATCTTCGTGCCCCCGTCTAAACTAAGTGGATTCATAGATTTTTTAATCTTTAAGCGCGTTTATCTTTTCTTGCTTCTCTAGGTTCCTAAACAAGGCGTGTATCATCAAGAACCCTCTGGACCTATCGCCCAATGGAATCCCGAACGACCCTTGGAGCCTCTGCACGGTCAACCAAGTCGAGGAACTAAAAGCGCTAGTCAAAGTCATCCCAATATGGTCGACCGGCATAATTCCCGCCATAAACCTAAGCCAAACCTCGTTCCCCCTTCTCCAAGCTAGCTCCATGGACCGCCACATCACCCGAGGCTTCCAAATCCCAGCTGGTTCGTTCGCCATGTTCAACATCATAACCCTAACCCTTTGGGTCGTTTTGTACGACCGCGCGATTCTACCTCTCGCCTCGAAAATTGCAGGCAAGAAAGTCCACCTCGGAGTCAAACTAAGGATGGGAATCGGGATTTTTCTATCTTGCATGGCCATGGTTGTTTCGGGCATAGTCGAGCACACGCGTAGAAAACGGGCGATCGCTCAAGGGTTGTTGGGCCACCACGATCCACACGGGGTCGTGAAAATGTCGGCCTTATGGCTAATCCCGCAGAACTGCCTCTTGGGATTATCCGAGGCGTTCAACGCGATCGGGCAGACGGAGTTTTACTATTCAGAGTTCCCGAGGAGCATGTCGAGCGTGGCCTCGTCGTTGTTCGGGTTCGGGATGGCAGTCGCGGGACTGCTGGCGAGCGTGGTGTTGAGCGCGGTGGACAAGGGGACGAGAGGCGAAACGGGAAGAGCGAGTTGGGTGTCGGGTAGTATAAATGAAGGGCATTACGACTACTACTATTGGCTTTTAGGGGGGATGACTTTTGTTAACTTGGTGTATTTTGTGGTGTGTAGTTGGGCTTATGGTCCTTGTGATGATGGGGGCATGGTGGAGGAGAAAAAGTCTATGGTTGGGACAACATGTTGAGAAAAAAGAGTGTTTGGATTTATTATATGTACATTCATGTAGTTTTGGGTGTTATATGTGTAGGTTGTTATGGTTATATGTCCTAAAATCTTGCTTTAGCAAGAAATGGCTAAAATTATCAAACTCTCTTTCCATGGTAAGATACATTACATAAGTTGACTTGACACAAGAAAATTGTCTTAAATTTGGAGCTAATACTTCTTACATTATAATCTTTCAGCATTGCAATTGCAAATACATCTTCAATTTTGTGTTTGCTCAGCAAACAGCCTTTTTCTCAAGGGTTCAAATTGAAATCATAAACAGAGTTCAAGTGGTACTTGGATTTTCAAGAAATAATTGCAACTTTTTCATAGAAGCCATATCTCAAGGACTTTATCATAACTATTAATAATACACAGAGTTAATTATGAAAATCATCCATGAAGTTTAATGTATTTGCAAAGATACCTAGCAACAATTTCAAATTTACAGAAGTACTTAAGAGATTTTATTTGTATCTTATATTCACACCTTTGGTTAGCAAAATTGGACATAGTAATTAGATGGTTTTTCCTACCTAGATCAAACTTTCAAGGATACTTACCATAATCATCCTAAAAGAAACACGTCCTTCTAACCCGAGTTCTGTATTCTTACATGCAGGCAGTGAAAACCGAAATACACGAACACATGGATAACCTAAGATAGTTCCTCAAACGCGTACGAATCAACAATCGTGTACTCACCTGTTAACAACAGGTTGACCGGGGGATGCAGCTCTAGCCACTTGACAAATTTTACCCTCGAATTTCTCCATCCTTCCCGACAAGATTGAATCCTGGCCGTTGATGATCACTTCAAGACCAGATGAAAAGGGCACACAAGGAGGATCCTTTTTTTTTTAGCACTGCATTTCAAATATTCACAGACAACAAGCCAGCTGCAGAACATACAGATTGAATCCCGGCCGTTCATGTTCTTGCACGTTGCAAAACATAAAGAGACGTCTGCAATGTGAAGACTGTTTTACAGTTTTGTGTTAGTGTTAAACTGTTAATGGCATGCTAATATTAGAGTACTACTCTAAGCATGTCAACTGGTAAGATTAAAGTTTGCATCTTTATGCATATTAAGAATGTTTTTCGGGGAAAAAATTACTGCAATGTTTGATTTTTGGATAGATTTTCCAGCAAGCATAGAGAAAGCCAACTACACAATTACACAGCTGCAGTTAACAAAAGCTAATAAATCCCACAAACATCAATGAATTATTTCAGCCTTAAAACCACACAAAACACAAATCAACAGTAAACAACTAAACATCATTACAATAAACATGAGTTCAAAACAAAATAAACCAAAACAACACTCGAAACAATCCCANTTTTGCTTAACCTCTTCAGCTCTCCGACTCCAATGGGATCCCCAGCTCCTTGGGCGGCTCCGCCTCGGCTCCCTCCTTGGGCTTGGACCTGTTCCGCGGCGGGGCCGGGACGGCCCAGTAAGTCTTGGTCTTGCTGATGGGCCGGCACTTTTCGAGCTGGACAAGGTCCCCAACCTTAAACTGGTTCAGCGGGTCGTGGGCCTGGTACTTCTTCTTCTTCCTCACGCGGCGCTTGTACTTGGGATGAGGGGCCAGGCGTACGACCTCCACCGCCACAGTCTTGTCGCTGGTGGCGCAGACGACCTTCCCCTGCAGTGTCCTCATCGCCCTGATGACGGGGCGAACGGCGGAGGGCGGCGGCCGCGGCACGGCGAAGGAGGTTCCGGGATTGAACAACGGTGCTCCGCCGCCGCCGCCGCCGCCATGGAGAAATGGGGTGGAGAGCGAGAGGGATTTGAATTGGAGGGTTAGCGGAGAGGTTAACAGCATTGTCGATCGTTTGGGAAATGAAGGGAAGGGGATAAGAGGGGCTGGGTTTTGCAATCTCTTTGTGGATATAATCGCGTTTTCTTCAAAACGATTCTTGACACACGATTTTATTTATTTATTTTTTAAATTATTCTTCATACTCCAATCAAAGCTATCCTCTAACTAAGGGTGTAAACATGTTGGATGTGGGTTTTGGCAAATTTGAACCTGACCCGTATATAATTTACCTTACCCAAATTTGACCTGTTATCTGATTAATGATTTTTAGGTTCGGGTCAGGTTTTATCCGGTGGATTATCGTGTGTTCGTCGGTAATCAAATAACCCGAAATCTTAAATTTGGGCTTTACACGGTCCCAACTTGACCCGAGAAACTTCTTTTAAATTCGGGTCAGATTTTGTCCGGTGGATTATCGTGTGTTCATAGGGTAATCGAATAACCCGAAATCTTAAATTTGGGCTTTACACAGTCCCAACTTGACCCGAGAAACTTCATGTGTAGACAAAAAATAAATAAATTAATTTCACAATTAATTGTAATGTAACTGACAACTATTAACTAGGTTTGATAATAAAACAACTATAAAAAATTTCTAGATTATTTTTGGAGTAAATAATGAGATATAATTATTATTTTCTATAGTCTAGTTAATAATATAACATTTAAAAAAGGATAATGTGTTGTATAAAATTTAATAAGATATGTGTAAATGATGGAATTTTGAAATATGAGACTGCACATGAAAATGTAGTGATATAAGTATACTAGTATAAGAGAAGTAGACTTTGTTTAATATTACTAATATATTATATAAGAATAATTCTGTTGATGGCCGGTTCCGACCAACGGTTAAAATACGGAATAATAGAAGCAAATTCGAAAACGAAACGAGAATACAGTTTAATTACGATTTATTATATAATTACGAGGTCTGCACTTTGCTCGTGCTTAGAATAGTTACATGAATTTGTTACAGCTTGTAGTGAGAGAAAGTAGAGAGATATATGAGTTAGTTGATGATTCAACAACCCAATTTAATGAGGTAAGTTCCTATTTATAGTATCCTTAAGTGGGGTACTGTTCCGACACTGTTCACAGTCTTGTCACACGTCTCCTCGTAGGCCAGGTCGGCGCTCTCTAATAGATATTAAATGCGATTTGAGATTTCTTTAATCATGACCTGCTAGACATTTAATGCACACATCGGTAGCATTAAATGTTGTCAGCTCCTTTTATCGGGCTAGATGCCCTAGGACAGTAGGTTATGACGGCTTGTCTAATATGCAATCATTTGCTTTAAAGTGGCTATATTATATTGATTTCGGGTTCGGCCTCTATATCGTGATCGACATCAGGGAATCTTCAGGTTGGGCTTTCAACACTGACTGTTCCCCCAACTCTTATGGGCTTATCTTTCTGACTGGCACTTGATCAGGTCAACATCTGCCACTTATTTTCGGGGTGCCGGTCTCGGTGAACACGTGAAACGCCATTGCGGGTCGCCTTCCGTTCTGTCCAGCTCGACACCTTGTCTCACGGCTTGTAACTGGTCCGAGCCGTAGGGTCGTCTTTCTCCGGTTTCGTTTGAGGAACCTGGAATCCCGGGTTGGACCGACCCGTATATCAACAAATTATTTTCTCAATTCTTAATTTGGACAAAAGAAGTATACTTAGCCTCATTAATCTTAATTTTTTCTAACTCATTAAAATTATAATTTTTAATCTTTTATATTCATTTATTATGCTAACTTCCGATAAATTTTGTATGTAAAATACAAGTTGTGTAAGTATACTAGTATAAGAGAAGTAGACTTTGTTTAAATTTTAGTAATATGTTATATATGAATAATTCTTTTCGCAATTCTTAATTTGGCCAAAAGAAGTATATTTAGCCTCATTGATTTTATTTTTTTTCGAACTCTTTAAAATTATAAGTTTTAATATTTTATATCATTTATTATACTAACTTACAATAATATTTGTATGTAAAAGACAAGTTGTATAATTACATTTCTTGGTTGATTATTACTTATCATACTTATGTAGTTGCAAAAATTAATTAAAATTTTTATTGTACAATGGCAACAAATATTGATAAAAATTTCAAAAAAGAAAACAAGTTTAATAATTAAAAAAACTATAATAAATAATTTAGTTTTTAATATTAATTGCATATGTCATGACTACTTGTATATTTATAATAAGCTTAATATATTATATACACACATATATTTAATCGGGTTATTGTTTGTTTTACTATACCCGATTCGAGGTTCGGATAACATAAATATACTTGTGCTCGACTCGAAACCCGATCATACTGGATTCACCCGACCTATAATTACAAGTAACCCAACCATGTGGATTTCATTGACATGCCTACATGTAAACGATCCAAGTCGAGCTCGAGCTTGAGCCTTAACGAGCCGATCTCGAGTTTTAACGAGAACTATAAAAATTATATAAAAATTCTCATTTCGAGTCTTATCGAGCCGAGCCGAGCCGAGCCGAACTTGACTCCTTAACTAAACGAGCTTTAAATAAACTCGAGCTCGGCTCGTTTATGAAACAAACTAAGCCGAATTCGAGCCTTAACGAACCGAGCGAGACTCGTTTAATTTAATAGGGCTACCTCTAACCAACATCGTCAAATAAGTACAATGTACAAACTGATAAATAACTCTCACATATGTTCTTGATTGTTTATGGAATAATTTGTTCAAAATGAATTATTTTGGTTAACTATAGTTAATTTGAAAAAGGTGTATGGTTACTTAGTGAAATTTTAAGAATGTATTAAAATAATATTTAAAATAAAATGATTAAAATTGATTTGATGTAAAAGTAAGAGATAAATGATTGGAAATGATTAGAAATGATAGGTAGTTAAAATTATGTGAGTGGATGAATAGTGAATTAAAGTTGATGTGATGTGTAAGAATGATTGGTTTGTATTATTTAATTATATGAATAATATTAAAGATAATGGAGTTGAGTTAAAATTGAGTTAAATTCTGAGTTGAAATAAAAGTGAGTAAAATATTTGATAAACAATCAAGCCCTAAGAACATGTTTGTTTATAAGAATTTTCAAAAAATTTCCAACATTTTAACTCAACCATTTTTTTAACTCAACACCACTATCACCAATTTTATCAATATAATTAAATAATATTAATCAATCATTCATACACACCACATCAACCTTAATTCACTATTCATCTACTCACATAATTTTAACTAACCATCACATCACATCTTCTCTCTCCTACTTTTACTTCAATTTAATTTTAATCATTTTATTTTAAATATTATTTTAATATATCCACTAACAAGTAACCATACCACCTTTTCAAAATTAACCAAACCAAACCAAAAAATCCAAACAAACTCAAAAAATTTCATAAACAAACATGCTCTAAACATTTTGCCTTTGTTAAGTTGCATCCAAAAAAAAAAAAA